GAGGAGGAGTTGTTCATCTTGTTTGGACGGCCTGTGCTGCTCAGCATTCTATGAAGTTTGATTTTGATGAGCCCCAAAATTGTGATGCAACTTGTTTGGGTAACGTATAATGTTTAAAGGGGAACCGTCAATTTCTGCAAGTCACTGCAAGGCCATTGTGACCTTAGATTGTAACAAGTTCTGTGGGAGGATTGGGAGGGAGGCTGGTGACAGGAGAGGTCGAAGTTGAAGACTTGCTGACACATGTCGCCGCAACGGAAGTCAAAGGACTTCCACATTTGACTCTGAGAATACTCCAAGCCAGCGACTCTCCTGTGTGTTCTTGTGCAGGTCCTGCATTCAACGTGCACCGGTTCATTGAAAGAGAGCATCAGACCATGATATTCCAATGAAGCAATATTCAAGTCCTTGCTGAAAAGATGTGGCGCCAATTCCATTGTCACATTTAGTTGTGCCAGGGACACAAACAGAGAAGTCCGTCCGATGAGCGCATGTATTTATTATGTGAAAAGACCCTGACTTGTTTCGCAGACAAACGAGTTCACTCGATAGACTTCCCTCAAGAGGAGTATGCTTTGAATGCCTAGATGCTGAATGCTCATCATATTTCCTTGATGTTGAGTTGTCAAAGCCTTTGCAGTGGAGAGCCGCTCATATCCAGAGACGTTGTGAAAAGTTCTTCACCTTCTGCAATGCATGCGTGATGGTTGTGGTTTTGTCAGTGCGACGTGCCGCAAGAATGCAGTTGCAAAGCCATGTCGATTGAAGCTCAGGTAAAAGAATCCGCTAAATCTGAGATGTTCCTTGCCGTCCCCAAGAGTGTGAATATTTTCTCAGCAGGTTTCCAACCTCGAACGAATCATTTTGTGGACTTGCATCTGCATGACGTGGCCTTGGCAGGCAGTAAATCCAAGTAGTATTTTGCCGCCCAAACGCTGGACCGCGAAAGGTTTGGCACAGTTGTGGCTTTTGCAGATGGCACCAGAAATGCCCTGCTCCCAGATACTGTACAATTTGTTTGCTGGAGCGGTTCAGATGCTGGACTGTTCTCCATGCGTGCTTCAAGCAAAGCATGGGGACGGTAAATCGGTCGAGTGTCGCAAAACAATGCCCAAAAGTCTAATTTCCATAAGTCTCATTGTATGTAATGTTCCCAAGTGTTCAGGAGGAATATTGGAGTTACAAGCTCTCGTCGACTGGGGGTTGCTGTCCATCACCTCATTTCTGAATGCAAAGAGAGAAGCTGTGTTGTGGACAGCTTCAGTGGCTACAGCTTCCAGGACCCACACTCAGAGCCCAAAGACTTGGAGCAGGTCGCTACCATTGCAAATTTGGTCAACATGCTCAACAGGCTTCCATATAAACCCGAAGTTTTTTGAAGTGAAACGCTTTCAGCTTTGTAAAACTTCAAAAGCACTCTGCAAAACTTGGAAGCTCTGGAAGCTCAGAAAGTTTCCAAAGTGTGCTGTGAATCTATCCGGGAGATCTTGTTGAGATGCCGTCGTAGCGGTTTCCCATGGACCATTGCACGCGAATCGACATAAACTGTACCAGGTCTAATTCGACAAACTGTGTGTTCTTATCTTGAGTTCATACCACAATGTACCGCGGCAACAGGGACCTCATGTCTGCATCCCAGTACATCCTGGAGTCACTTCGGCCATGTCAGGGTGTCGGTGTCACCTCTCAAACCAGTGATCTGAAAAAGTTGAAGGCCCAACCATCTCAAGCATATGCCAAACCTGTTGGCGTCTCCCACTTCACTGATAGCTGCCTGTTGAGCGACCTGGCTCTTTGCGGAATACAAATTCAAGTGCGAACAGGATTTCCTTGAAGCACGGAGAACCCGACGTGGGTCTCTCCCAGTTGAGCCGAAGCCAACTGGATGCGGCAGACTGAAAAGAAGCAGGGCCAGAATGAGGAGTTGCATACCGATGCCTCATGATCCCTCTCAAGTTGTGTAAGAGGATTGCAATGGCATTGCAATCCGACAGCATGCAATTCACAACTTTGGTTCAAAAGAACTGTTCCATAAGCCTGTCCACATCTGATCCAAATTGCGCAACAGAGCAGTTGCATGGACCTGCTCAGCTTTCTTTGAAGAGTTGCATTCCGCTTATGACAGTACTCTTCCACCGAGGTGCTTCTCTTGACAGAACAGTCAGTAGTTTAATCTCACCCTTGCATTCAAGACCCCTGCAGCAATTCAGCCTTGCGATTTAATCTCCGCTGCGTGACAGCAAAGACCAAGAGCGTTGTTCGTGGATATGCAAAGCAAACAAAAAAGGATTGGCTTGCATGGCAGTGTTAAAGACAAAGCCAGTGCCCGCACTGTTCACATCAGCGATGCTCCGCTTTGAGAGCATGCCATAAAGCCACTTGGTCAACCAGTCAGGTCCAGTTAAGGTTCTGTAAATCTTTGAGGCTTTGAAATCCTGAGCGTTCCAGTTCTTTGCAGCTCTATTCACCGTACTCAATGAAGTCGCGGCAGAGGCGGCACAGATCGCAGACGTGCAGTACCATACAGGTGATGTAGTGATGCGGTTTACTTCTCCTTTGGCCAAAGATTTTCTGCCCAAGGCTTGCAGGATCCAAAATAAATCGAGAAAAATGGTAGGGTTGATGCCAAAGGATAGTCCCACTGGCAACTGCGCAGACCCTTCAGCGGCTGAGGGTTCAAAGTACCGCTTGATGCTGGCTACACTAGAGCCGCTCTTGCGGCTCATGGAAAATGAGACATCGAATCCGCCTGCCCTTCATCTCATGCAGAGTTCACCGCCACGCGGCACACATGGGCTCAAAAACTGAATAATTGTCAAACACCGTCGGTAGAATGCTGCCCCAACAACAATCTTGCCGGTAGTCTGCATCGGACCTGATACCAATGCGATGCAACTGTTCATGCTATCCACTTTCTAAGGAGTGTCCAACGAAAAGCAGGAGTCCACTCAAATCTTTGACTTCGCGTGAGCTAGGGCCTGGTGTTCGTCGAGAATGGCAACAGCCAGATGTAGTGCGGTTTGTGGAAGGGCATCAGAGAAGATGGAAATGATGTGACAGAGATGACGATGATAAAAGCAACATGACCAAGTGGCAGTTTCGAATCCGGAGTCAGCAAGCTGGAATGCAAAAGGCCGCCATATCAAAGATCATAATTTGTGGTGAGGTAGGCTGCCAGCTCGCTCGAAGTTCTGACATGGTACTGAGTCATACTGAGTCATACTGAGTCATACTGAGTCCTGCTGCAGGAAAAGCATGACTGAGTCATTACATGGTAATCTAACGCAATCTGGGCATGGCATTGTAAGAGCCAGGATGAGAGGATGGCGATGGACTGGGCCATGACTATGGCCTGAGCGGCCTGAGAGATGGGACGAACCTTGACGCCTTGAACTCGGAAGACTTCCACGATTTCCACAGCTTCTCAGATCGGTGTGGCCGCCGCTGCCTACTTGACTCAGGTTTGCTTTCACACCGTTCACACCTGATAACGTCTCTCGGAACAGGGATTGAACCATTCAGTACCCATCTTGCTGTCCATCTTGCTGTCCCTCGCCGTCCGGTTTGTGCATCTTACAGAATCTTACATGGTTTGTACATCGCCTTAAGGTTTTGCCACCGAAGATCGTGCATTCCGGACTTCAGAGCGCCAGGTCCGTAAGTGGACACTGCAAAAACATCCAAGCTTGTGTAGCTGCCTGGAAACTCTTAACGAAACAATCTAAAGCAGCTACAGCAGCATTCTTCCGTCGATATGGCCTATAGGCCTTCAGGGTCGCGTTGGGTGCATCCGAAAGATGATGCAACTGGTCGTCACCCCAATCTTTCACCGGCAGGGAGATTGTGGCATGAAAACTTGCCCGTCTTGCCCGTCTTCGTGAAATGACATAATTGAAACTGTTAAGCCTGTTAAGCCTAATAAGCTTTGTCACTTCAGTTGTCATTTCCCTGCCGTTGTCGGAGCAAAGCTTGGAACAAAGCTTGGAGCAAATGGTGCTCATCGTGTGCTTGAGCGTTTCAGGGTGGGTAGGGTGGGCAGGGTGTGCACTGAGCGGCGGTCACTGCGCTTTGAGGCTGCTCCGACCAGCGACGGATTCGTCCACCTCGTCGACCTTGCTGTGGCCAGCTCTCACCCGTCACCTGTCCCAGCTCCCGTCACCCGTCACCTGCCCGGGCGTTTCGCATCGTTTCGCCTTGCGCAGTGCGCAGCCTGCAGCCTGCGCAGCTTGTGCACCTGCCACTGTCACCACTGTCACCACTGTCACCACTGTCACCACTGTCACCACTGTCACCACTGCCACCACTGCCACCACTGCCACGTTTCATGCTCGATGCCTTCCATGCGCCTTCCATGCGCCTTCGCTCAGGTCACAAGAAACAGCAAGAAACCATGGCGTTTTGATGCCGAGTCAGTTGAAGTCTTTGTCGTTTCGTCAACATGTTAAAAAATGCCACCCGCGGTACGATCGTGATGCAGTCACCACTCTGGAGTGCCCCAAGATATCACTGGGGGGCATGGCGCAAGTGGCGCAACTGGCACAATCTTAAGACCTGTGACTTGTGAGTTGTTAAGACTTGCGAGTTGCGAATGAAGTTCTTGGATTTTGCTTTGATATCTTTGCGGTCTGAATGCAGTTTTCATCAGTTTAAAACTTGCAATGTGCTCAATGTGCTGGATGTGCTTGGTGCGGCCAAGTTCGTAGGTTCTCCTGCGCAGCTCTCATCTTCGCCAAAGCTATGCAGCCCTGCAGCCCGAGCTCGTTGTTTCCTTTCATCCGTTTCAAGAGTTCATTGATGTTCGTTTCCTTTTAAGCACCGCACGAGGTGCTTCAGTCAGCACGGCGCCAGATTTCTAATGGTGGCTGCTCCATTTGCTCCATAGCAAATGCAGCAAGTGTTTGTTGCCATGAGCCTTCAAGGAGCCAGTGGCGCCATCAGATTTGTGGACAAGAGTGGCTGGACGTGGCCATGATGGATGGGAGGAAGTTGTCGCTTTTCCCATGAAAATATGTCGAAGATGGGGCCGAAGACAGATCCTTTCGCCGCCTCAACGGCACCAAGTTCCCTTCGACGCACTTTCTCTACCCCGATCAGATCGTGATCGATGTGATCCACGTCACATGGTCCACGTGATTCACGTGATCCGCACCGTGTTCCAGTCACCCCTGGCAGTGGAAACGCACAAGTTCATGCATCCAAAGCCAGACACACTTTGCAGTCAATCAGCTCTCTTTCAAATTTCGGTCAAATCACACAGCCAAGAGTCGAGGAAGCCTAGGAAGTCGAGGAAGTCGATGCAGAAAAGTTTCAGGGCCAAGGTGTCCAGATTCCGGTTCTTTGCCAGGTGTCCTGTCTGTCCTGTTCTGTCTCGCGAATAAAAAGTTTTCTTTTCTATCACAATGGTTCCATGGTTCCGTCAGAAGATGTCCTACCTTAACGATAAATCTGAGAAATTTAAAGTCATCTTCCTGCAAGACTGTGCAGATGTGTTGCAATACCATTGATGGAAACCAAAGGCACGCTTGGCAACGTCCTGTGAAGCAAAGGCTGAAACTGTTGAAAAGTGGCACATGACGTACAGATTGTCATGCAGATACGCCAGAATTCGTATTGCTCCTGGGCCAACCTTACGGGTACCCAACGTTTCGGCGAATGCATTGAATGCTTTGACGGGCAGCAAAAGAAACTTTGGAGCGAGAACTGCATTGGTCGGAGTCGTTGCTGGCGACTGTTCGCAGCCCCTTTTCGAGACTGTATAGAGCCTGGAGACGCTTTTTACACCAAAACTGATGCTTGGTGCGACGGGCTCGACGGGCTCGACACTTGTTTGATTCAGACTGATGCCATGTTGGAGCTTGCATGGTCTTCTCAGCCTGCCACCAGCCACATGCAGCCACAGCAGCCACAGGGAGAAAAAGTGAAGTTACTACCTTTGACACAATTTGATACCACATCGGTTTTGAATTCTCTAATGCCAAAGCGACATTCTTTGTCCGTATGTGTTCGCGCTCAATGAGAGGCTATCATCCACAAGATTTGCGAGTGTGTCTCTATGGAGAAATCCTCAGCGCAGACACATCCATTCTGAACTTTGAAGTTTTGATTCGATTGAAGATATTGAAGTCGAACGATGTCGAACGATGTCGAGCGATGTCGAACGCTCTTCGTTTACTGTAGAAACATGTTCCCAAAATTTGACGCTCGACCGTTTGACGCCTGTCGCCCGACTGAAGTCGCATACAGCAATGACACACAGAATGATGTGGAGAGACACCACTGGTTTCTCGGTTTCTCATATCGTTTTCGGACTAGTGGGTTGATTGCTTGCAATCACCAAGAATGATGTTCAAAAGAATTGAAAGCTGGCTTCCAGCGCATGCAGAAGATATGCCCTGGACACGCGGGGCTAAATCCCGGGGTATTTGTTCAGGTCCGGATTTGAGGAACTTGCGCAATGTTCATGTCATTGCTATGATGTGGAACTTGCGCACTTCGTTCATTGCCTTGAAATTTGAAGCAAGTTCCTCACCAATTATGCTGCAAGCAGAAGAGCTGTAAGACTGTAAGAGAAAGGCAGCTGTGAATATATGTGTCCGACATGTCCCAAGTTTTGCAAGCTATTTTGGCGATTTCCATGCCATGTTTTTTGAAACTTCCATGTTGCCAGCCCAGAAATGTTAAATAAGTTGCCGCAGTTGTCACAGTTGTCACCTACCAAAATTATATACAAAGTCCATTACCCATCAAAGCAGCCGGTTTGCTGCCAGCTGCATATGCTGCCCCAAAACCAGCCACCGTTGCATCGCACGTGGGGTGTAAGCAGACAAGTGTGACAACTGTCTGACAACCTGTGATACCTCATGATGGAACGGATCACAGACAGACTTGAAGGTATCAAGGTATCAAATTAGGCAGACAGATGCAGAATAATGCAGATAAGTTGTGCTGGGAGGTTCTTTGGCCAAGATTCAGCAGTTACGATACTTCAAACATCCCAACAAAAAGCGGCTTAATTAGTGGTTTCAACCCATCCCAAACCAATCGTGGTCATGAATCATCTCAGTCAAACTGGGAAAAGTATGACGAACATTTGCACATATTTGAAGCCAGCATCCAGAGGCAGCTTGCAGATAAATGCAGATAAATGCTTCCCCTTTAAGATTTGACGCAAAAAATGAATCTACGCATCAATGAAAAATAGCCTTGAATATGTGTGAACGCAGGTCTAAAATGGTATAAAAGGGTAGGAAAGAGTGTTCCAATTTCTGACTTAAGCCAGGTACGGCAGGTGCGAAAAAATGACAAACATGACGAAAGAAATTGGCCATTTTTTTTCACGAAAGCGGGAGCCTTGGCTGACCAGCTGGAACTCGCTACTCGCCGGGGGACCCTTGGTGCTAGGCCGCTGGCGCAGTCTGTAGCTGAAGACTGGCTTAAAGAAGCCCTTGCAGTGTGTACAGGCACTAGGGCGCACAGTTTTTGCCAGACTATCAGGCGTGATCTGTCCTCTTTTTCCCTAATTCGTTCGTAAGGCGGAACGATGCACGGCAGCAAGTTCTGAAGCAGTTGCCTCTGCAGCCTTTGCCCCTGTGTGGGCCACGTCGGGCACCGGCACTGCTCCAACCGAAAAAGGAGCGAAGAAACGATGAAACGAAACGAAGCAACGAAACAATGAAACAATGAAACATATGAAACAGTATGCATAGCATATGTAGTGTTGATGCTTTCACAGCGGTGCGTTTACGTCACGACACTCACAGCACAGCCCAAAACACAGATTCAAACGCAAAACAATTTATCTACTATCTACATATTATAAATTATTATATATACATTGTATACCAGTAGTGCCCGCACAAGGCGGGGCGGAAGTTGCCTTAGGGATACAATATAAGACCTTTCTCATCTATAGAACTTGCATGCGCCGTGCGCCAGCCAGGCCCGTGCGTGCATGCATTCTGCGAAAGTTGTGTCCTGTTTCACATGTCATATTTTAAGCTCCACTATGCTCCACTTCGCACTTCACACTTCTCACTGCACTCTTCACACTCCACACTTCGCACTCCACACTTCACACTTCACTCTTCATGCCCCACACTTCACACTGCACTCTTCACACTCCACACTTACGCTCCACCCTTCATCTCATCTGAGCTCTTCTCACCTTATCCCAGTTCATCTCTTCTTATCTCATCTCTTCTCATATGTCATTTCAGCTTTCATGAATCACTTCCCAGTACTACTTCAAGAACTTGCATGCGCCGTGCGCCAGCCAGACCCGTGCGTGCGTGCTTTGTGCGAAGCTGTTGCAGCGTTGCTGTCCAAGAACATGACCTGCGCGCGACCCCGGTGCAATGCAAGGCCAAGCAAGCACTTTCCTCACACTTCACATTGCGCTCTTCACGCCCCACACTCCACACTTCACACTTGCACCTCATCTCAACTCATCTCATCTGAGCTCGTCTCATCTCATTTCGTGTCTTCCCATCTGTCAGCTAAGTTCTTCTTGGCTATTTTCATGTCATCTGAGCGCGGCTCAACCTTTCTCATCTCACCGAAGCTAGTCTCAACTCATCTCGGCTCTTCTGCACGTCAGAAAGCTTGAGACACAGATGCATTTACACAGAAGGGTCTTTACAAAATACTTTGTACTACAAAGCTTGCACAAAGCACTTCCCAGTACAACCTTGTACTACGCAGCTTGCACAGAGTACTCCCCAGTAGTACTTTGTACACAAGACTTGAAGAAACACCTTTCACCTCATCTCACCTCTTCGTAACTCATTTCAATTCTTCTGTATGCCAAAAATTTTTGGTAACAAACAGAATCCCTTGTGCACACACTTTCTATATTGTATAGGTGAAGCTTGTGGCATATTGCACACCTAGACCATAATATATTTACAGTATTTAGGTGATTTATTAATGCCAAGTGTTCATGTATTGCACCAAATCTCAACTGCAAGTCTTTCGTCAAGACAACTTATTGTAAACATGGTGTAGTTGTTATCTGTCAATCAGACTCACACAGTCCAGGGTCAACAGCTGCATTCTTTTGCAGCACTGCGCTAAGCTCTTTGGGCCCGCACTGGCACGAAAGGCTGGACAGCTTAATCCGCAAACACTTGTTGTCACTCACTCACTCACTCGCTCGCTCGCTCGCTCACTCACTCACTCACTCACTCACTCACTGACTCACTGACTCACTGACTCACTGACTCACTGACTCACTGACTCACTGACTCACTGACTCACTGACTCACTGACTCACTGACTCACTGACTCGCTGACTCACTGACTCACTGACTCACTGACTCACTGACTCACTGACTCACTGACTCACTGACTCACTGACTCACTGACTCACTGGCTCACTGGCTCACTGACTCACTGACTCACTGACTCACTGACTGACTCACTCACTCACTGACTGACTCACTGACTGACCCACTCACTCGCTCACTCACTCACTCACGCACGCACGCATGCACGCACGCACGCACGCACGCACGCACTCACGCACTCACGCACTCACTCACTCACTCACTCACTCACTCACTCACTCACTCACTCACTCACTCACTCACTCACTCACGCACTCACGCACTCACGCACTCACGCACTCACTCACGCACTCACGCACTCACGCACTCACGCACTCACTCACTCACACACACTCACTCACTCACTCACTCACTCACTCACTCACTCACTCACTCACTCACTCACTCACTCACTCACTCACTCACTCACTCACTCACTCACTCACTCACCTCACACACACTCACTCACTCACCTCACACACACTCACTCACTCACTCACTCACACACACTCACTCACACTCACTCACTCACTCACTCACTCACTCACTCACTCACTCACCGCCCACACACACACACACCCACACACCCACCCACCCACGCACGCACGCAC